ATCCTAACTGTTCTGTGTATGAGTATCACTTTAAATTGAAATACATTGCCATACAAACGTTAGTTTTGTTGCTTTTGGCAAAAACTGTATAGATTAAGTTGCCAGATTGTTTCAGTAGGTCTTTTTAGGAGCAAGTGTTGTGATTTGCCAGTGTACAGAAATTTATATTGTTGTTTGCCATTTGAGATGACGGATTTAGACACAGTCAGTTGGTTAAGAATCATTTAGCACGGTCTTTGCATCCACCATTTCACTACCGGGAAATTTTATGGAAGTTGCTATATTTTGAAGAATTCATAGCACAGAAGTGACATTTCTATCTTCGTAAAGAAGGTATCAGCTATAGGATGTACTTAGTTATTATTAATGCTGCTTCTCAAGCACAAGTAAACGTGAACTCCCGTGATACTTTAGAAGAATCAGGAAAGTGCTCAATAAATTATGTAGGAAGTAAGGGAGGGAGAAATTATTTAACATGTCTTGAGGCCATTTGTTAAGCATTAACCTTTGATAAACAATATGTTTATCAATGCAAGAAGAATCCACATCAAACCATTTGATAACACTTGTTTACTATGCTCTTTGGTCAGCCTGTCACTCACCATTTTCAACACTTTGTCTATGTCTATAGTTGAAACTCTGCTTTCTTTAAGCCTAATCAGACATACCAGAACAATCTTCCAGAGACCCACCATAAATTTTACCCCCTTCTGTTCTCCTCCCTACATCAAGTTGAAACATTCCTTCTTTCAATTTTTCTCTGGTGTGTCTCATCTTCCCATCATGTGCCACTGTGAAAAGCCCAGCTCAGTCTTCTTGATAACCTCCTCATGGGTACTGGACAGCAGCTAATAGGTCATCTCAAATCCCTCTCCCATGCTGAATAAGCCTGTTTCCCTCAGACTCTTCTCACAGGGTATGTACTCCAATTACCTGACCATCTGGATGGCCCTCCACTGAACTTGCTCCAGTTCTTCAATGTCTTTCTGGTACAGGGGGCCCAAAACTGGACACTGTATTTTAGTTGGAATCTAGTAAGTGCCAGATAAAAGGGAACAATCACCTCCCTTGATCTACTGGCTTCACTCCTGTCAATACAGCTCAGGCTGCTGCCAGGACCCACTGCTGGCTCCAGGGCCTTTTCAGCACAGCTGCTCCCCAGCCAGTCAGACCCCAGCCTGCATCCTTGCAAGGGGTGAATGACATATACTCCCTGTATACTCCTTCCCAACAGGAAAAGATGAAAAAGCAAATAGGAAAAGATGTTCAAGACTTTGTCTAATGTACTTATGGAAAGCTCCAATTCTACGGTGATTATATCGAGTCATGAAAAATCTTACAGGAGTTAACAGTCGGTTTAGCGCTTCGCTATTCAGTACCAGCTAGTGCTAAGGGGTCTGCTGTCCAAAAAATTCAAAGCTAAAAGCAGATCAAAATAACCAGCTTTTGTAAGTAAATGGGCATTCAATGGTGAAGCAATTAGCACAAGAAAGGCGGCTCCTTGTCTTTGTTCACTTAGGTTATTCTGTCATATTTCTTCTGAACAATGTGTATTTATTCTCTGTTCTTTATCCTGTCCTCATTTGTTACTAGAGATGCCCCCCCGAAGGCCTGCTACCAGTCTCTTATTTCATAGGTGTTTTTTCTTAGTATGCGCAGATGAATTTAACACAATTCTCCAGCAATCCCAACTTCTGTCTGTCTTACACCAAAATTGTTGCCAAAGTAATTACAAAATCAGGAGTTGCTTAAAAACGTTACTAAGTGACAGACATGGCTTCCATCACATTATTTACAAAGCTGAAGCACTTAAATCAAGGAAATAAATAAATAAGAACATATCATGCATATGTGATACACTTATACAATACAAAAGCATATATGCTTTTTTTGTAACCTGTGGCCAGGACAGTTCACTTGGTATTTTGATTTTAACATTCTAACTTATACTGAGGGGCTTCTAAATGAGAAATACTAAGACTAAATTTTTTTCCAAAGAATTTGCAATTGTTATTTCTTGTCAAGAGTTACATACTTGTAAATATAGTTTAACAGAGAGACTGTATAAAATTTTTACTATAAAATGGTGGGTTTAAATTATAGTTGTGATTGGTATTTATATATAGTTGTCGTATTTCTCTTTTAGTAGAATTGTCTGAAATGCATATCTGTACACCTACTGGAGAAAACAGTGTTTACTTAGGATCAGAACTGGTATTTTTGTGATGACTTAAATTATTTTTTTAATCATGTATCAGACTGATTCATGCTATACAGAAATATTTTTCTTAAATTTTTCTAAAGATGCTGTCAAGCAAATTAGCTATATTTTGCCTTTAGGAATACATCTTGCTTTACATTAGGTAATCTGGTTCATAATACTTGCATACTCTGTGTGTGTCTGTAGTGTGTGTTCTTAATGATTTAAAATAAGACAGTTATTAAAACTTCAAACAATGTGACAGGACAGGTTTTCAAGCTTCCAAATTGTAAGGAGCGAGTTGTTATTAGCCCCCCAAAAAGTGCCTTTGCACACTGAGCACGCTGCAAGGCAGACTGATTCATACCAGCCGAAGCTACCATCCCTGCATAGGTCTGCCAGAGGAGACTGAACAAGGACTCCTTACTCAGCTTCAGGTGAATTTATTGGATCGGTTCACACCCACCTTCAGCAACAAGTTAAACGGAAGGGGCATATTCATGATTGGTTCAAGACAACTTTGCCATTGCTCTAAAGGATCGCTGCACCTTCCTCCCTATGCAATCTGCATGCTTTCAGTACCTTGTGGCTGCGTAATTAGTGTTAACCCTTCAAAGAAAAGGAAAACACCTATTTTTCAGTTACATCAGTGAATTAAGCCATATGGTGAATCAAATTAACAGGTGCTAGTTTCAATGCAGGGAGAGGGCAAGGATATGCAGCTGGGATGGCAAGTCTTCAATGGCAGTATTGTCTTAGTTTGGCTTAAGCAAGTCATTAAACCATGCCCTTATTTGACTGACTTTCCCTGAAACAAAGAGCAAGCACTCACCTGGCTCCTTCTGCCAGCAGAAGTGATGGGAACAATGACAAACAGGTGTGTCAGTTGGTTTATATGTTTGCAAAGAAAGTATCTGCTTATGGGTCTAATACATACTGTAGTCTCAGCAATGAAAGCAAAACCACAACAAACTGAAGATCATGTAAAAAACCTAAATGAATCGGAGTCCTTACAGAAAAGAGGAGTGACAAGTAGGGGAGCACAAACTTCAAATGCCTAAGGGGAAGAGCCTACCTGGAGGATGTGAGCTGGGAGGAAAACTGCTGTTTGAGCTCCTGAGAAGGTCAAACCTGTGGTCTGTGCTGTTCCCAGCAGGACACTCAGGGCTTCAGCAACTTTGTAGATATTCAGTCCTGTGAACACAGAGACATAAATGCTTGAGTAAAAAATGTGTGTGGGTGCTATGAGATCTTGCTGGTGATGTTTCTGAGGTTGCTCTATCGCTACTGAAAGGCTGTGAAAGTTGGGGAGGACCAGAGAAAGGCAAATATCATACTCGTCTTCAGAAAGGGCAAGAAATCTTGGGAACTACAGGCTGATCAGACTCATTTTGGTCCCTCGGAAAACCATGGAGCTATTCTTCCTGGAAGAATTAAGTTTTGACCCCACTTTGAGCAGGCAGTTGGCTTTGTCACCTCCCAAAATCTGTCCCAACCTCAGTGATTCTGTGATTCTATGGAATGTACTTATACAGAGGTTTTCAAAATCCAGTATACAGCAATAGGCCCAAGACTGGCTTGCTCAGTCACTCTGTAGGTAAATCACTTTTATTTATACCGTGTGAAAAGTGTAAGCTAAAACAAATATTTTTTTTTTAATTTAAAGAGTCTGTAATTCTTCTGTATGCACAGAATCTCTCAGACTTCTCCCAAGAGTTGGGTAATCATCATTAGCCTTGTTTTGCACTTGACCTAATCAAGTATTGACATTTAAAACTACGTAACAGACACAAAGGTCTAGTGGGAGACTTGAGTACAGAGAACATCATACATAAACCTGCCACAAACTTCCTTGTCTCTAGTAATTGTCTCTTGACTGCTCTAAATCATTATCTGTTCCATTAATAATCACTGCTTTTTGGTTTTCTGAGTCCATTACAGTCCCTTCCCCTTCTCTGAGAAAACTCTTACCAGGACTGAGAAGTACTTTTTCATTGGATTGATTCCTTTTAAGCTGCACATATATCATTTGGGATCTAAATGCTTGGTTAGCACAGGAAGTGATCTGATCAGTACAGCCTTTTTGAAAGTGAGAGTTTCTGCTCAAACATGCAGCAGAGTCAGAATGTACAAACAAAATACTAATGTGCAAGAGAAATAAATGGAAAAATGATTCCATATTATTTGGTGTAAAACATCACTGGTGCATTGTGTTGTTGTCAGCTCTTTAAAAGAAAGAGGTTCAGAGATAGGGGAACTAATAAATAACAGGTTCATAATATGGGAAGATTAAAAAACCCAGGAGTATTTACTTATGTCATGTCTCAGTTAAGAGGAAATACAGAATATAAGGAATGGCACAAAAAGACAAGTCTCTCATTTATCATTTGGGGATAGAGAAGTAAAGTGCAACAGAAGGACAGAAAATATAAAATTTATAAAAGGAAACTCTTTGGTTTCATTGCTACTATATATTGAAGCCAAGAGCTTTGAAAGATTCAAAAAGCATTAGAGATTTATATGGAGAATGAGAACATCCACACTTACTTTAGATTAAAAGCTCCTGGAATATAAGCCGTTATGTTCCAGGACATTAGACAACCTATAAAACAAGAGGATTTAAAACAGAAGTTTTCCCTCTGAGCAGGATATTGTGTTTGTCCACTCAGTTCTTTGGCTTCTTCCTCTGGAACATCTAGTACTGGGAACTCAAACCCTGATGCTAAACTCATAGTTCTTATGCTGCTGGATTTAGGCAAAAGTATGTAAGCTAAGCATTTCTTCTTCCTGCCTAGATGTAATGTCTGTTCTATCACCTAAAAAAGGACAGGTAACTAGACTGACTAGATCTTTGACTGACTTTATTGAAACCTAGAATTGCTGGCATTTCTTTTATACGTTCTTTTATATGTTTTATGTATTCTATATATATTCTTTTAATTGTTTCATATTTCCTTATAAAACAGCATCAGTGCTCTCGGATGATACTACCACGTCCTACTCCAGTTGTTACTGCCCCGTAGCAGAACTGGCAAAACCATGTCAGTACCTCAGACAATATGCTAGTGAAAACCCACTTGTAGTTTCAGTGACACACCAGATGATGAACTAGAGTGGCTTGGCTATGGGCTAACATCTTGTTTTGCTAACTCTGCTAGAGAAGGTGACAGAGGGGTAGGGCTGGATATACAAAGTGATAATTTCATGATCTGCCACAGAAGGATGCATCAGAGCTCACCTGCAGGAACCGAGTGTCTCAATAGATAGAGATAGAAACTTTGAGCAGCCAAGTGCAAAAAGGCTCTCCAGTGTATATTGTTAACCTTAAATCATGAACAAAGGACTAGAAAAATGTGATGCCAGAATGTATTACGTATAAGGGAGATTTATAACAAGGCTATTGAATCAAGTCCTATCTTTTGATTCAGGACAGCTTGCTAGCCAGTGTCTCACTGTATGCTTTGTTTTATTTAGTTGCAGATCTGGGACACAGCTGGCCAGGAGAGATTCCGAACTATCACACAGAGTTATTACCGCAGCGCCAATGGAGCAATCCTAGCCTATGATATCAGCAAGAGAGGCTCTTTCCTGTCCATTCCTCGCTGGATCGAGGATGTGAGAAAGTATGCGGGTTCCAACATAGTACAGTTACTGATTGGTGAGTTAAAAGTATTAATACCAAAGGCTACAAGTTACTGTACAATGTAATTAGTTGCAATACTTCTTTATGATCGTTAGAAGTTTTATTTTTGGTTGAAGTTGAGATGTATGTAGTAGCTCTGATTGGAAATTTTCCCTTTTTTTTTTAATTAGAAAGTGCTGATTCATCAAAACAGAAATGTTTTGCTTTGATTAACTTCTGTTAAAAAGTAGCCAGCTTTGTATCAGAAGCCAGCTTTGAATCCTTTGCATCCCACTTAATGGAGAACTGGGTACCCAAGATTTCTAGGTTCTGAGGCACAGCTGCTGTGGAGCTGTTCTTGTGATAAGGATCATAAGGTTTCCAGGGCCCAAAGAAGCACCATCATACCAAGTCGACATGTTTTGGCGAACTGGAACACTCACATACTTCAGCAGATGGGGGATTTCAGAAGGACTTCGGGGCAATCAGAGTTTGTCAGTTATCTGCTAGAAGTTCTGCTTCCCAGTCCCAGTGTTTCTGACTCAGACGCAGCTCTTGGGGCTTACAGACCTGCTAATACAACATCAGTAGTATTCTAGATTTCCCTAGGAACCAGCAGACTGCTGTTGTTTTCACAAAACGGTTTTAGCTTTCATTTCTAGCCCATTTTTCTTCTGTTAAGGTCTACAGCCACCACTCTTCAGTTATTGACTTCTCCTGTTCTATGAGTCATACAGAAATACAGGTTGGAAGGGGCTTAGGAGATTATCTAGTCCAACCTCCTCCTCAAAGCGAGGATAATGTCACGTTGGTCAGGGCCTTTTCAGTCAAATTTTGAAAATCTCCAAGAATGGAAATTCTGCAGCTTCCCTGGGCAACCTGAGAACCTCCTGCTAAATACTTACTCTGACATAAACAGTCATTATAAATTACTCTGTTGTTTCTTTTTCTTCCAGGAAACAAGTCTGACCTAAGTGACCTTCGAGAGGTTCAGCTGGAAGAAGCTCAGAATCTGGCTGAACACTACGATAATATCATCTGTGCCATAGAGACCTCTGCGAAAGACTCCAGCAATGTGGAGGAGGCTTTTGTGAAGATGGCTACAGAGCTCATGATGAGGCATGGAGGCCCTATGTTCAGTGAGAAGAATACTGACAGCATCAAGCTTGACAGCAAAGACGTTGTAGAAGGCTGGGGGTGTGGTTGCTGATATGAGCTAGGTGATATCCCTAACTTTACTGGAATTTAGATGGTGCTTCACCCCAATGCTGAGTAGCACGGTAGCCATATTCTTCTCCTCCTGTGAAACCAGCGATTTTGTAGAAGTTAGACACAATCCTGTTTGCTTTGGTGTCTTATTTTTAAAAAGGGACTCAAGAGAGGTAGTCCTAAAAGTCAAGCCCTCTGAAAAACTTACTCAAAATTTGTCCCCACCATTTTCTTTTGTGTAACCTTCATACAAGTTACAAAAGTGGAGGAAACAACTTTGAACTGGTGGTGTGGGGTGGGGAGACAGATGGATGGGGAAAAGACTGATGCACACCCAAAGTTCTGAAGCATTTAGCAGACTGTTGGCAAAGGAGGTAATTTTTGGAATAGGCAATCTTGACAGTGTCTCTTTAAATCATCAGCACTCCACCAATGACCAGAAAGTGACAGTGTCTTTGATAAAGGTATTTCAAGTGTCAGAATACCCAGCATTTTGATTACAGGACCAAATAGCAGTCACCTGTCCTAAGGCATATGGATTGCTTGTTAGTATTGGAAGAGGCCCAGGTGAGGAAGCCTTCTCTCAGGTTTTGTTATAATTTTTTTAAGTTGTTATTTTAACAAAACGCAACATCAGCCTGAGCAGTATCACATGACTTGCTGTCAAGCACAATTGGACCAGTGTAGTTATTTTAAATACAGCCTTGAGGAGGGGGTAGATGCATTTCACTTGTTATTGTTTGCACAGTGATAGCTCCCTTTTCCAAGTGGGTATCATTGAGTTTTTGCCCTCAGGTCTCTTTATTTCATTCTGTAACTCAAGACCTGCACCACTGGAAACAGGAACTGGAGAAACCTTGAACTGACTGGTAGCCATGATCTCCTGCCATGTGCCTAATGGTCATATACAGGGTTAATTCTCGTCATACATTTGACATGTTACCAGAGTGTTTATTGCTTAAGTGGCATAAGTGGATTTGGGTTTTTTGTGGGGGTTTTTTTTTAACCATCTCTTGAAATACAGTCTGGGCATATAATGGGCAAGAAGACCTCAGCTGAAAACTGCATGCATTGCACTTCTTGGTTGTAAGAAACCAGCGTCTTTTCAAGTGATTCCCTCCCAACTTTGTACTCAACTGCTTCCCTCTCCCTATCAGAAGTTCCCCATTGCTTTTAATTCCTTTAAAAC